AAATCATAAATTAATAATATTATTAAATTATTTATACACGCACGTAGAGTTTATAAGAATTTATTTAAATTATTTGTATTAAAGTAAAAAATTTAATTTTTCATTTTAAAACTTTAAAAGTATTATTAAAAAATAAAAAAATGCAACAAAATATTTATTAGTAGTAAAAAACAATTTCATTTTTAAAAAAATTAAAAGAAATAAAATAGAATTAAAAATTAGAAATTATTAAGCTTATTAATTGCGTATACAAACTTCTCTTTAATAATAAGAAATAAAAAATATCAGCTTATCAAAACAGGATGTGCGTAACAGTATCTAACTAAGGAAAAATAGTCACAGTTAATAAACTATAGTATTCTGTTGGAAACTTTATATTTATCACAAGATATTTTCGGTGTACCTTGTGTACATAAACGAACAGAAATATTTCAGTCTGCATTGGAATCATCGTCGGATCGATTAATGTATTAGTATAATAGTTAGCCTAGATAGTTTCAATATAAATGTATTCGGCTACTACTTATTTAAAAAGAAAATATCAAGAAATGTTCAAATTTTATTCGATTATTCTGCCTTTGCTTCGTGTTGATTTCTTTAGTTAGTTTTAGTTTCGTTACGTAATCAACTCTATTAAGAAAATTGTCAATACAAATCCAATTTTATCTATTTATATCATAATCTATTAAAAAATATAATCAGTATATATTATTATTTCTTCAAACTTAATTCTTCCGAAAAATCTTTAAATTTTAATATCAAGTGCTACATAATTTCTAAATTAGTATTCCATTTAAATAAACAATTTATGTAAATTTAAAAATTAACATCAGTTTTTTTTATTATTTGCAAAATGCATTCCTCATTTTTGTACTTTTTTATTTTAACATATACTTACGGTCGATAAGTAGTAAAGAGCATGCGAAACCTTATGCTGCATATAACACTTCCGATGAAGGAAACTATCTTACGTAACACGTTCATCAATAGATAAATTTTTGCTTCTATGAATAGTTATTTTGTATAATAGCACAACACGTGTTATGACTAATACCATTTCAAGTTATACATTAAGTCACGTTTTTACAAACTAACAAGCACGTAGTACAAAGTATGTTACAACAATTCTAAACATGTAAATTCATATATGTAAACTGAAGTAATGATATTAAGGCTGTGTTCTAAAATTCTTTGCCAGTGTTGAAAAAAAATATATAATATTGTACGTAACAGAAACTGTAGATTTTCAGCGCTAGCAGTCAATTTTGGAACACAGCCTTAATAGATAAAATCATGAATAATCTCATAAGCAAAATTCTCAAACAACTTACAAAGAATAAAAGTTTCATATCAACTTTATTGATCATAATTACTGTACTGAATAAAAATAATATTCACTTTTCTTCTCTCTCTCTCTCTCTCTCTCTCTCTCTCTCTCTCTCTCTCTCTCTCTCTATCTCTCTCTCTCTCTCTCTCTCTCCCCTCTCTTTCTCTTTCTAGTAAACATTTCAATTTTGCTTGAAAATATTCAAATAAAATATTTTATAAATTTATTGAATTTACTTAATTTAATAAATATAATTTATTAAATGTTATGCTGAATGTATTTAATTACTTAATCTCAACTTTTAATAAATATTTTAACATTATTATAAAACAGATATATCTAAAGATAAATAGAAATTTACACTAATGTGGATGTCAATAAACAATTTAGATCAAGTAAAAATTATAATTTAAATTGCAACAAATAATCAGCATATTATATAATATAAAAATAAATTGCTATAACAATAAAGAAAAATCGCGACAAAATTTTCCGATCTAAGAAATGTCATAGTGACACACACAATTACTATCCTCTATGTATTATTACGTAATGAGACTTCGTCATATATAACCTTCGACTATCCGTATCTTTTGAAATTTTCATATCTTTCATACCTAATATTAGTTAACAAAAGTTGTTTTATTAATTTTGTATATAAAGAATATGAAAGATAAAACAATAAGAAGATACATTACAAGTATATTTAATGCCATTAATTTAACAAGTTAACTCTAGTGAAAATACATATTTTTCTAATTTCTGATATCGAATAATTTTTTACTTTTGATTTTAACTTGTTTACATAACTTACATAACATTCAATATAATAGAGATCAAATTCATTGACAAAGTTGTATAAATCATTGTGCAACATTGATGCACAGATTTAGCATGTAATTCTAGCTTCGTCTCATATTCTTCTTATTTTTATTAATACACATTTTTTAATAGTTTCATCTTAATTGTATCGTAACGCTGAATAATGTAAAATCGGAGTACCAGATTAACTGATAGTAAACATTCTAATCTAATAAACTATGGCTACATTCCAAAATGTACTGCCAATGCTTGAAAATCTATAGTATGTGTAATGTAAATTATAGATTTTTAGCGCTAGCAGTGAATTTTGGAACACGGCCTTGTTATATTTATATTGACTATGTCATATATTTTGATCGATAAATTTTACAGATAACATAAATAACGGTACATATTCCAAAAAAGTGTCTTATAAAAAACAATTTTTGAACATTTCATAAAAAGACATCTTAAAAAAAATATCTTTAAAACATCTTTTAGACATGCTGTTATTTAGAACTAATCTTCCTCCAATTTTGCATGTTCGATCATTAATAATAATAATAATAATAATAATAATAATAATAACTTTATTGAGATGCAGAACAATAAAAAAATCTTAGTATAGGTCAAACGAAATGTAATGGAAGTAATTGGATCGGGTTAAAGAAAATGAAAATGGAAAATTCCATAATAATTTCCGTATTAATTTCAACTATTGTTACTAGAGAAATTTTATCATCGTAAATAAATTATTTCAAACGTATTTTGTAAAACACGTTCAATAACATACACATTCTAGAAAAATTCTAAAAATTTAGTGCACGAAAAGTGTGTTGAAATAATTTTTATAATTTCCTTGGCGTACATGTTCCATAATTGGATTATAATACTGTCAGAATGCATGTGATTTTCTCGCTTAACTTGTCATTTGTCATGCAAAGCGATACAAACGAAATAGTATGATGTATAACATAAATATGAAAACAGTTTGAATGATAACGCTTTTCAACGTAAGCAATATACTATCTAATCTACACTCGCACACGGATTGGTTGAACCGCTATTTAGACTCAGTTCCACAACTCACGGTTAACTCTTAATTAAGGTTCAACTTATTCCTCATTTCTTTTCAATTCTAGAATTGAAATGAGAAATAAGTTGAACTTCCATTAAGAGTAAACCGTGAGTTGTGGAACTGGGTCTTACGTTACTTTCATGTCTAAAGATATTCTTTAACGATCGAATCGTTAAAGACATTATAGTGACGTAATAAAATGCAAAGGATTAAGCCTCTACGACCTATAATTTCCACAAATAACGTACTACCCTACTTATATCTACATTTTTAGTATCAAATTTTACAAGATTAAGTACGTGACTTTAAGATAAGGACATCTCGATTCTCTTTATTAATTTGATAACAAAATTTGATAATTAGAGTCAGCATTTATCTCTCAGAAAATAATCTTGCGCACAGAGGGGCGGGTCAAAAACGCAAGGACTCAAGAGGAGAGAAGCTGATATTATAATCTCTAAAGAGAATATTATATTGCCGTTAAAAAAAACTCACCCCAACTAGCGCCAGTGCGGCCCAGGAATTGTCCCGTTTCGGAGTTCCAGAGGAAGACGCGGAAGCCTTCCCATTTCCCAAGCTTTGGCGGCGGAGAGTAAAACTGCTCGACTTTTTTGCCCTCCATCTCGCTCTTACAGCGACTCCCGACGGGGTGAGAAAAATCGAGTGCGAGAAGAAAGGGTGGAACTCCGGGCGACAGCAGAAGATGTAAGAGAAGAACGCGCTGCCACCCGAAGAGCGTGCTGATCCCTCTCGAGGGCTCGAGGACTTCCTTCCTCCGGCGGAACGTTGGCCGCGATCGAACAGCTCCGCGGGCGAGGGCGCAAAAGAAGGAACGGTCGATTCGTGCCCCCGTCTGGAGGAGCCGCTGCTGTCGGGCGCTCTCGTCCGGCGAAGGGTTGAATATTGAGCGATCGAGGCTGGCCTGACCCCCGCGAGAGAGGGTCTTCAGTACCTATCCTTCCACCACTCTGCCACTCTCTCACCCTCTTGCCCCTCCACGACGCACCCTCTATGACAGCAACGCGCCGGCGTGACCACGCAGACGCGTCAATACGTGATTTCCTTAGCACCCCTCCCGCGGCACACGATCACCCTTGTTACCCATCCCCCTCTCATCCATCTCTTCTTCTCTCCCCCTCGTAAAATCCGAGACCAGGTGGCTCCCCCACCGACAATCACCGACAATGGCGGGCGATGTACCACGACGATCTCGCGACCAACCCCCCGCTGATTTCGGGCCTCCCCGGCCGTTTCGTTTTAGGAGCTTTCGATCGACCCCCGTTCCGCAAAAACGCGACTGTTCAGAACAGAACTTATGCGACGCGATGCGCAGCCGGCTCGCGTATGCGTATTAAGTCTCTCGCAAAAAGATGGATAGAGAAGGGAGAATGAGACTTAGGAAGGGTGAGGAGGGATGCTATCGAGAACGTGTGAGCGAGAGGGGAGGAAAGCAGATTATGGGTCACGTGGAGTCTTCGACTGCCGCGCGACTGCGAAAGCTCGAGTGGGAATAAACGGTTCGGTATTTTCCGCGGTCTTCAAACTGCATTCATTACCGAAACACTGTTGCAATTATCCTCCAGTGATATGCACAGTAATGTTATACTCCGATAACATATCCAATACGTAGTACTTTATAAGCAACTTTTTACATGTCCATTCCGATGTTATTGTCAACTGACATACTTATATTTAATCTTAATCATCGTTAATCTCGAAATCAGCAAAAGT